AATATAATGCAGAGAATTCGTAGTTGGAAGTTAGGAGGAGGTGCGGGATTACCAAAACTGTTGTCCAGAGGGCTGAGGAAGGGTTGTTGAGGTGGTTCGGACATGTAGAGAGAATGGAGCGAAACAGAATGACTTCAGAGTGTATCAGTCTGTAGTGGAAGGAAGGCGGGGTAGGGGTCGGCCTAGGAAGGGTTGGAGGGAGGGGGTAAAGGAGGTTTTGTGTGTGAGGGGCTTGGACTTCCAGCAGGCATGCGTGAGCGTGTTTGATAGGAGTGAATGGAGACAAATGGTTTTTAATACTTGACGTGCTGTTGGAGTGTGAGCAAAGTAACATTTATGAAGGGATTCAGGGAAACCGGCAGGCCGGACTTGAGTCCTGGAGATGGGAAGTACAGTGCCTGCACTCTGAAGGAGGGGTGTTAATGTTGCAGTTTAAAAACTGTAGTGTAAAGCACCCTTCTGGCAAGACAGTGATGGAGTGAATGATGGTGAAAGTTTTTCTTTTTCGGGCCACCCTGCCTTGGTGGGAATCGGCCGGTGTGATAATAAAATAAAATATTAAGCGTGGCTCGTGCAGTGACAAAAACTAATCTTAGTGTGAATTCATTACATATACATACATATAACAAATAAATTTCTATAGTCATATATTTTTACATCATAGTTTTCAGGCTTTTTAATTTGTGTTTAGTATCTCTCTCCTGCACCAGTGTCCAGCAGCAGTTGGCCATCAAAATGATCATTACAGTACCCTTGATATCTCTTCTCTACGATGGCTACATCTAAGTGAAATTATTCACCATGGGGTTGTATTTCACAGGCACAGTATGTGCTGATGTAAAACTAAGTTCAGATTTGAAATCAGTGTCCCAACATTAGCTAAAAAAAAGAAAAAGCATGTTTTTAAACTTGAACTGAAACCATTGTTGGGCATGTTTTTAAACTTAAACCACTGTTGGCCAGTGTAATTATATGGTATAAATTTAAATTCTAGGATCTGAAAGGCCCTTTTCTTGACTAATTCAGGTAAAAAACATTATGACAGTATTACACTGTACACACAATAAAAAAATTAATGAAGCTGATATCAATTTTAACTACAACATAATACAGGTTCTATTCAATCTATGAAACCAATTAGAAATTAATGACACATTTCATGCTAAAGATATACATTTGTTAGGTAATGAAAACTACTCAAGATGTTCATAAAGCATTAAGAGAGAACCTACAGTGTAAGCATAAATAATGTACAACAAAATACACACTTCAGGGATACTGGTTATGTACTGTATATCGAATTTCTTATGCTCTGTATTGTAGGTTTGCTCTTATGTATAAGGGGTCTCAAAGATATAATCTCTAAATCTTTCATGAACAACTTAATTAGGAGTTTTTTTTTATTACCATTTTACATGTCATGATTTATTACTTTTATTATAATTAGTAGTAGTAGTAGCAGCAGCAGTATTAATACTCCCCACTACAGCATATTACTATTTGGTCAGTATATACCACAGTAATGAAATAACTTTACCTTATGGGATCTCTTCTAGTCCTAGCTGGGATTTAATTTTTGACCAATATTAGTACAATATATCCAACATATATGTCCATGGGGAAGTGGAAAAGAATCTTTCCTCCGTAAGCCATGCGTGTCGTATGAGGCGACTAAAATGCCGGGAGCAATGGGCTAGTAACCCCTTCTCCTGTATACAATTACTAAAAAAGAGAAGAAGAAAAACTTTATAAAACTGGGTTGCTTAAATGTGCGTGGATGTAGTGCGGATGACAAGAAACAGATGATTGCTGATGTTATGAATGAAAAGAAGTTGGATGTCCTGGCCCTAAGCGAAACAAAGCTGAAGGGGGTAGGAGGTTTCAGTGGGGGGAAATAAATGGGATTAAATCTGGAGTTCTGAGAAGTTAGAGCAAAGGAAGGGGTAGCAGTAATGTTAAATGATCAGTTATGGAAGGAGAAAAGAGAATATGAATGTGAAAATTTACAAGATTATGTGGATTAAAGTAAAGGTTGGATGCGAGAAGTGGGTCATAATAAGCGTGTATGCACCTGGAGAAGAGAGGAATGCAGAGGAGAAGAGAGATTTTGGGGAGATGTTTAAGTGAATGTATAGGAGCCTTTGAACCAAGTGAGAGAGTAATTGTGGTAGGGGACTTGAATGCTAAATAGGAGAAACTTTAGAGAGGGTGGTAGGTAAGTTTGGGGTGCCAGGGTGTAAATGATAATGGGACCCTTTGATTGAACTTTGTATAGAAAGGGGTTTTGTTATAGGTAATACATATTTTAAGAAAAAGAGGATAAATAAGTATACACGATATGATGTAGGGCGAAATGACAGTAGTTTGTTGGATTATGTATTGGTAGATAAAAAACTGTTGAGTAGACTTCAGGATTACATGTTTTTATAGAGGGCCACAGATATATCAGAAACACTTTCTAGTTGTAGCTACACTGAGAGTAAAAAGGTAGATGGGATACAAGGGGAATAAAGCATCAAGGGAAGAGAGAGGTAAAGGTTTATAAACTAAAAGAGGAGGCAGTTAGGGTAAGATATAAACAGCTATTGGAGGATAGATGGGCTAATGAAGAGCATAGGCAATGGGGTCGAAGAGGTATGGGTAGGTTTAAAAAAGTAGTGTTAGAGTGTTCAGCAGAAGGGTTTTTGGTTACAGGGAAAGTGGGGGCAGGAGGGAAGAGGAGCGATTGGTGGAATGATGATGTAAAGAGAGTAGTAAGGGAGAAAAAGTTAGCATATGAGAAGTTTTTACAAAGTAGAAGTGATGCAAGGAGGGAAGAGTATATGGAGAAAAAGAGAGAGAAGTTTTAAAAGAGTGGTGAAGCAATGTAAAAAGAGAGCAAATGAGAGAGTGGGTGAGATGTATCAACAAATTTTGTTGAAAATAAGAAAAAGTTTTGGAGTGAGATTAACAAGTTAAGAAAGCCTAGAGAACAAATGGATTGTCAGTTAAAAATAGGAGAGGAGAGTTATTAAATGGAGAGTTAGAGGTATTGGGAAGATGGAAGGAATATTTTGAGGAATTGTTAAATGTTGATGAAGAAGGGAAGCTGTTGATTTCGTGTATAGGGCAAGGAGGAATAACATCTTGTAGGAGTGAGAAGAGCCAGTTGTGAGTGGGGGGGAAGTTCGTGAGGCAGTAGGTAAAATGAAAGGGGGTAAGGCAGCCGGGATTGATGGGATAAAGATAGAAATGTTAAAAGCAGGTGGGGATATAGTTTTGGAGTGGTTGGTGCAATTATTTAATAAAATGTATGGAAGAGGGTAAGGTACCTAGGGATTGGCAGAGAGCATGCATAGTTCCTTTGTATAAAGGCAAAGGGGATAAAAGAGAGTGCAAAAATTATAGGGGGATAAGTCTGTTGAGTGTACTGGTAAAGTGTATGGTAGAGTTATAATTGAAAGAATTAAGAGTAAGACGGAGAATAGGATAGCAGATGAACAAGGAGGCTTTAGGAAAGGTAGGGGGTGTGTGGACCAGGTGTTTACAGTGAAACATATAAGTGAACAGTATTTAGATAAGGCTAAAGAGGTCTTTGTGGCATTTATGGATTTGGAAAAGGCGTATGACAGGGTGGATAGGGGGGCAATGTGGCAGATGTTGCAAGTGTAATGGTGTAGGAGGTAGGTTACTGAAAGCAGTGAAGAGTTTTTACGAGGATAGTGAGGCTCAAGTTAGAGTATGTAGGAAAGAGGGAAATTTTTTTCCCAGTAAAAGTAGGCCTTAGACAAGGATGTGTGATGTCACCGTGGTTGTTTAATATATTTATAGATGGGGTTGTAAGAGAAGTAAATGCGAGGGTCTTGGCAAGAGGCGTGGAGTTAAAAGATAAAGAATCACACACAAAGTGGGAGTTGTCACAGCTGCTCTTTGCTGATGACACTGTGCTCTTGGGAGATTCTGAAGAGAATGTTGCAGAGATTGGTGGATGAATTTGGTAGGGTGTGCAAAAGAAGAAAATTAAAGGTGAATACAGGAAAGAGTAAGGTTATGAGGATAACAAAAGATTAGGTGATGAAAGATTGAATATCAGATTGGAGGGAGAGAGTATGGAGGAGGTGAACGTATTCAGATATTTGGGAGTGGACGTGTCAGCGGATGGGTCTATGAAAGATGAGGTGAATCATAGAATTGATGAGGGAAAAAGAGTGAGTGGTGCCTTAGAGTCTGTGGAGACAAAGAACTTTGTCCTTGGAGGCAAAGAGGGGAATGTATGAGAGTATAGTTTTACCAACGCTCTTATATGGGTGTGAAGCGTGGGTGATGAATGTTGCAGCGAGGAGAAGGCTGGAGGCAGTGGAGATGTCATGTCTGAGGGCAATGTGTGGTGTAAATATAATGCAGAGAATTCGTAGTTTGGAAGTTAGGAGGAGGTGCGGGATTACCAAAACTTTTTGTCCAGAGGGCTGAGGAAGGGTTGTTGAGGTGGTTCGGACATGTAGAGAGAATGGAGCGAAACAGAATGACTTCAAGAGTGTATCAGTCTGTAGTGGAGGAAGGCGGGGTAGGGGTCGGCCTAGGAAGGGTTGGAGGGAGGGGGTAAAGGAGGTTTTGTGTGCGAGGGGCTTGGACTTCCAGCAGGCATGCGTGAGCGTGTTTGATAGGAGTGAATGGAGACAAATGGTTTTTAATACTTGACGTGCTGTTGGAGTGTGAGCAAAGTAACATTTATGAAGGGATTCAGGGAAAACCGGCAGGCCGGACTTGAGTCCTGGAGATGGGAAGTACAGTGCCTGCACTCTGAAGGAGGGGTGTTAATGTTGCAGTTTAAAAACTGTAGTGTAAAGCACCCTTCTGGCAAGACAGTGATGGAGTGAATGATGGTGAAAGTTTTTCTTTTTCGGGCCACCCTGCCTTGGTGGGAATCGGCCGGTGTGATAATAAATAAAATAAAATAAAAAAAAAAAAATCCCTTATATGCGTTCTCACAAAACTAATGCCTTTCTTGGTCATACTCTCACCTTTCTAAGAGATGATGACCGCTGAACCCCAGAAGTCTGACTAGACGGTGCACCACGTGTGCGACCTGTAAATGAAGGCGTGCGCTTCGTAGGTGTCCGACCCCCATCATACGAGTCTAGAGATACTTCCGAGCCTGCTCGACTTGGAGGCCGTGAGCCTGGACGTGACCCCGGACCTCTTGATGGAGGACGACTCCCTGACCGGCTTCCTGGTTGACTGTCTGCTAAAAGATTGCAATGGTAACTTAGACAACTGAAAAAAAATACAACTCGACTGCAAGCATGTCATCATAATGATCAAGAGTAAAAAAAAACTTTTCAGAATAGTAACCTGAGGTATTATAAGATGAACGGGATGTGACTGGTGCAGAGGCTTTGCGTTTGCCACCGTGTAGATGGAATGATGACCCTCCTTCCTCACTGAATGAGGAGTCTGGGGTACCAGCACTGAAGGAAGTACGGCCCATTGCTGAGCTTTTTGCTGTTCTTTCCCGAACCTTTAAACATTACAAGTTTGTTAGTAATAAAAAAAAATTATAAATTATAAATTTATATCAATTTACACTATATAATACAAGAATGCAAAATAACATAAATAATATTTTGTATAACTATACAAATATCAGTTTTATAACTAAATAGCTAAATTACATGACTAGCACAGAAAACTACATTATGCTTCAAAAATACTAATAAAAATACATAAGAACCTTACTCTTTTTTCTTTCACAATAGCTGGTTAGCAAGAAATAGCAAGAGCAAATGAGAGAGAGAGAGATAACATGGGTATACATAGAGAGAGGAGAGACATTAACCCTTTCAGGGTCAGTCCTGTAGTACAATGCCATGAGCTCAGCTTGCTCATATAAGCTGTGAGCGGTAAATTTGGGCCTAGATATGAGAGAATGGGTCTATGCGGTAAGTGTGCATTACATAAAAAATTCCTGCAGCACGCAATGCATGAGGAGGAGCAAAAGAAAAAGAAAGAAAGATGTGGGTGGCCTTACTGTTATGTACAAGGCCAATATTGTCAAAGTACCACACTTGGATCCACTTCGAGGACAACGTGAAACAAGCTTTTATACCACAAGACGGGCAGAAAGCAGCAACTTCACTCTGGCTGTACCCTTCTCCAGAACATCACTCCATCTGAGATCATATATACCCAGGATGACGAGTATGGAACACATTCGTACAGCATAATGATGTCAACGAGATAAATTCAGCTGATCAAATGAAAATGCTGGCCCACAGATGGCTCCAACTTCATCCTGTTCCCTACTTGTATGTCTCATAACAATAAAAATGCTTTCAAATGAGCTGATGTAGGTAACAGCTCTTAGCTTGTCAATAAAGTTAGGAATCCTTAACCTGTAAATAGCTTGTTAATAAAGCTAGGGATCCTTAACCTTGTCAAACCCTGTGTAAAGAAAGAAAGAAAAGAAAGGAAGAAAGAAAGACCATGGTTTTGGTTTAAAACAGCGACTTTATGGTGTAATTTCATATGGGTTTTTATGGCTGTATTCTTGGTCTCATTTGATAGAATGTAAGATAGTTTACATAAACAGAGATGATTCTGATTGGTTTCAGAACAATGTATCTTGAAACTGAGCTCAAAGTAGCAAAAATGTTTGATTTACTGTAATAATCCAATATGTGTCCAACTGGCCACTCTAGTCTATTAAGCACTTAGGAATGCACTGGCATTATTTATACAATTATTACAATAAGGCAGTAGTTTGCATAACAGTAAATCTTCAATTTTTTGGTGTAAAAAAAAAAAATCAAAATGGTAAGCAAGTGTAACATAACCCTTAAATTGTCCAAACGTAGATCTACATTGACGCGCATAGCGCTCCAACCTTTATTTTTTCCATTTGAAAGCATGTAAAATTGGATGTAGATCTACATTCGAGCACTACGCACGTCAACTTAGATCTATGTTCGGACAGTTTAAAGTATAAGAAGGGCCTGGAATTGTAACTAAAGAACAGATGAAATGTTTATTTAGTGCCAGGAATGTCTACATTGTTTAGTATATGCCCTATTTTCAAACAGGCAATTGTTGAATTTTGTGTGTAACTGGCCAAATTACCAATCTCTGATCACTATTGGGTAGTTGAAATAGGTAAATGGGCTGTTTTTTGTACTCGATCAACAGAAGGAATACTAGCGAAATTGCTATGAGTTTGGTTGACTAGAACAATGGAATTGGCCAAAGACATCACCAAGACTGCTAACTTTGAGAGAGCATAAATCCACAAGTTTTCCATCAAATTTTGTACTTTTGGTTTCATTACCTTTGGGAAAAGATTCTCTATCATTTCAAAAGTTTTTTTTTTTTTTTTTAAATTCTTCAACCCTGAGAGCAAGTTGGAGATCAAGGGTCTCGACACTGAAAGGGTTAAGGTCCATATCAAGGCAATTTGGAGTCCGACAACACACAGCACAAGAGGAGCAAGAGCAAGAAAAACAGCAAGAGATATTTCTTGCTTTCTCACTAGCGAGTCTCCAAGTACAGCATCCTGTACAAAATGATTCTGTGTTCTTGATTCTCGCTGTTGCAAAATTTAGCCATTTTAACCCTTCTTATATTAACCAATATGGTTAATAAGGTGATTTGTGCCTCTCATGATGAACCTGCTTAAGACATGTAGCCTCTGTCCCCATAAACTGTATCCGACCTTCTTTCCTCTTCACTGATTTTCATATTACATTCCTAGAGCACTAAACCTGTTAAGTGTACTAATTCTTATAGCCTTGCACTACTGGGGTTGATATCCAACAGTCAACTGTCTGATAAAGTAATCTCCTCCATTCAAATGTATTCACCTTAGCTTTTTACACCATTCACAAAAAGGGCCACCATTTGGCTTCATAACTTCGCTTTTGCTTGGCACAATGTTATTTGTGTGTGTGTGCCTGTTTACCCTTTTGTAACGAAGTCCCAAAAATTATCCAGAGCAGATAGGCTAATTATTTTGCATATCCCTTCAAAACTCAGGGTGTTACCTCATCTAGTCCTATTTCTTGTGAATATCCATTAGTAGCCACTACAGTACTAAAATCAATGCACTGGGTTCTTATTTGGGCATGGAGAAGGGGATGCTAAAATTCCACTTCATTGAATATGTTTTCTTTTGTAAATGCATTCATGACCTTTAATGCCACATCACATTTCTTCTTCCAGTTCAGTAACTTTATTTATATTCTTTGTGCCTTATCTTTCACATCAAAATTGATTTATACCAATGAATAAATTTGCTTTTGAATTAGTATACCTATTTGCAAATGCAAGAGTAAGATTATGCCTATGATACTGTCTATTTTGATTAACTGATTAGAAGTATTGGTTAAACTGCAAAGATTGTGCCTCTACTATATTCTACCATATCTTGAGCCCAATCCTACTATAATATAACCACTATTCGTGAAGTGCTCTTAATAGACTAAGCCTCTTTTTTTTTTTTTGTAATTTAAAACTGACCTGTTCCCTACTATCAGTTCCGAAGTTCATTTTCTCACAAATCTTTTCAAGGACTTCAGGGTAGTTAACTCACAAATTTTATCTAGTCTTCCTTTGACAGCAGTGACTTTAGTCTTGATGACTAATACATGCACAGCAATTGGTATCTTTATTATGAAGATGACTTGCCAGCCAGTGGCTTTTCAATTTAATATGGAGATTACTTATTGGATACATTGGAAGATGAGGTAATTAGATCCTTAGTCTTGATCAATCTGAAACAGATGCAGAAGGGCCACATACACTGGAGCCAGAAGAAAGGTGGGCAGGGGCCAACTAGTGGTATTAGGTCATGCTCAAGAGTTAGGCCAGAGGTTAGTGACTGGGTTGTAGAAGACATCCTCTGTACGAAGATTCCATGGTGTTGCTGTGTTAGACAAGTATCAGTATATTAATAGTATGTCAAGTCTATTCTAGTTGTGTGTTTTAGGTTTTGCTGCAGGTCTTGCAACTTCCTACTTATTTATTTAGATGTGAACACCATACTTTGCTTTATTAACTTTTGACATTTCCCATCAACTGCTTTGTCTTTTTTGGTTCCTATTTAACCCAGTTATTGGCATACTAGAATGCCTACTAGCAAGAGAAAGCTGGTAGGCCTACATATGAAAGAATGGGTTTATGTGGTCAGTGCGCGCAGTATAAAAAAAAATCCTGCAGCACACAGTGTGTAATGAGAAAAAACAACTGACCGTGTTTTTGGATTAAAACAGCGACTTTGCACTGTATTTTCGTATGGTATTTATGGTTGTATTCTAGTTTTCCTGGTCTCATTTTATAGAACGGAAGACATGTTACTGAAATTAAGATGATTTTGATTGGTTTCACAATGAAAAGTACCTTGAAATTGAGCTCAAAGTAGCAGAAATGTTCGATTTTTACCAAAGTTCAAAAGTAAACAAATCATGCCAAGCATCCAATACACGTCAATTGGCGAATCTAATATTCTTTCACAAGTTCGCTGATATTATTTATACCATTTCTACACTAATGCAGTAGTCTGCATAACAGTAAATCTTTTATTTGTGAGAATAAAAATTCAAAGTGGAAAGCAAAAGAAATGTAAGAGGGGCCCGGGGATGTAACTAACAAACAGAGAACTTGTTATTTTAGTACCAGGAATGTCTGTCGTGTTTATTCTAGACCCTATTTGCAAATTGGCATCTCCTGAAATTTGTGAGAAATTGGCAAAATTGCCAATTTCTAACCACTTTATTGGATAGTTGAAATTGGTAAATGGGTGGTTTCTTGTACTCATTCGATAGAAAAAATGGAATTATAGTGAAATAAATATGATTCTTGTCAACTAGTACACAGGAATTGGCCAAAAAATAGGGCTCAAAGTGGGCGAAATCGCCAATGCGTAAACATCGTTGAGACTGCTAACTTCGTGAGAGCATAATTCCGTAACTTTTCCATCAAATTTCACACTTTTGGTGTCATTATGATCGGGAAAAGATTCTCTATCATTTCAAAAGATTTTTTTTTTTTTTTTTTTTTTTCCGAAAAATTTTCAACCCTGAGAACGAGTTTAGGAGAGGGCCTCTTGACCCTGAAAGGGTTAAAGAGAAAGGAGGTAACCTGCTCCCCTTGTCCTTGGCATTTTAGTCGTTATCTGCGACATGAATGATTTAAGATTTACAAGGGAAATAGTAGTAGCAGGTTCGCCGGTCATGTCCCAGCCCGGGTCTTTTCCAGGTGGTGACCTAGTGTTGGCCCCGTGGGTGGAGGGTGTTGTCCATCATCTTTCTTTTGTCCTGTGCGAACGTCTTTCTATGGTCCCTCCGGATGGATGGTGACATCTCTCTTGTGATGACTCCCCGGGGTTACAAGGGAAGGATTCTAACCTGCCACCAAGCTTTTATATGTACAGCAATCTAATTAATCTGTCAAGCATTTCATTTCTATAATGTAGGTTCTCATTTGTCCTTTCCTTCAGGCAACTTTTTTTTTGAACTAGAATTTGCAAAGTAGTTGTCAAAAATGTATCTTGCTTATAGTATTTCCTAGTAATTTGTTATTTTATTTAGTTTCTCTGAATGTGTAATACATGTGATCACTTTATAAATGATGAAGATAGTAGTAGTATATCCACAAGTGTGTGGCTTATGAAGAATAAAAAAAAATTGAAAAGACTTTTGTGAAAGGGTAAGTCACAGCCTGGAAGCAGGCACTTAAGAACATTTATCACCATGTCTGAATACTGCATGAAGTTTACCCCTTTAGTCTGATTTAACACTTAATGGTAAACTATGCTGATATCCAAGATGGTTTTATTGAATATTCATAGTAAAAATTACACTATTTACAATAGCAAATGGTAGTTTAAGTAACTGAAATACACTTTAGAGGAAGGTTCTTGTGTATTTTTCTACAATATATTGATAAAATAATGCACAACCAAATAAAACATAATTTAGTAAAAATTCATTGGAAGTCCGACTTATCTCCAATCAGTACAAAGAAGCACTTACCATTTGCTGATATGCCACCATCATTTGGGAATAGAGAGAGTCGGATCCCGGAATAGGAGCTTGTGTGATAAGACAAACCACATGAACAATCTCCATTTCTCAATATCCAAAGTTTTAAACACCATAATAATGAAAAAGCATAAAATGTCAAACATTCCTACTGAATAACAGCCAACTGTATAAAAAGGAAAAAATTTGTTGGCATAATTTTGATGCCGAACTCAAGATTTCAACAAGGCCCATATTTAGTTTACATGTACAGTATAAACACAGCCATGCTGAAAACTTAAGAAATGGTTGATTTTGGCCACGTTACAGTTTCAAGCTCAAGTTACTAATGGAGACTGACTACAGGGGATGGGCAAAGATTACTCTTATTAATCGAAACAAAACTAGATCACCGCATTCCTGTTCTTGTTAGTATACTGGAAACTATGTTAAAAGATGCAGGGGTAACAATGCACACTTTACTTTTGGAAAGTGGTATTTTCAAATAAAACATACCCATATTCACAAATATGATACAGCATTTCATTTTCTTTGAGTATATAACTTTATATCAAGACCATAATAATACAGTATTTGCAAGTAAAACTGTAATGTTCTAGTATCTGCAAATATGGTGGCAATATATCCAAGTTCAAGCTAGAAAAGAAATCATACATTTAACAATCCAAACCAGGCTATAAAAACACGAGCATTGTGAATCCAACTAGCACAGCCTACGTCAACACGAACATTTATCCAAACTAACACAGCCTACAAATTCACACGCATCTGCCTGATGGCCTCCTACCATTGATGAGCTTGTGGAGGAGTCTGATCTGTGGAATACTGCACCAACAGAATGTCCCACACGAATTGTGCAAAGAGTGGCACTGTGTGACCCTTCACAATCACTTTGACGAATTTGTTCAAAGAGGGGCATCAATTCAGCCATAACAAAATGAGCTGTAATAAATAATTTGTTTTTCAATAGCTTCAAATAATATTTGACAGGAAAATATTTTAAATGGAAATTTTTAAAATTTTCCAATATTCAAGAGTATTTATGATACCCAAATGATCAGGAAGAATTTTTCATTCTTAAAGGAGTTAAGTGCACTGTCTAGTCTTTAAAATGAATATGAGCAAAAGATTTATGAATTAACAGGAGAAAAAAAAAATATATCAAAGAAGTGCCAGTTCCTTTGATAAAATCTTAACCTCTGCTATTTCATGAGCCTTTCCAGCATCAGTACTACCTAAAGAATGTCTTTCTATGAACAGAACCTTTCCATTCATTAGTTTTTGTACATTAAGGATATCCATTAATTTGCTTTATGAAGAAAAAAAATCTCAGGCCTATACAGTAAAGGGAATTTTAACATTCATATCCACCACATACAAAATACCATATTAAAAAGTTTCATATTTTTCTATCAACAACTATTATGTACCCAGCTCTGATCTTCTAACCCTACACTATTCAATAAAGTGTACATATACATATACTCCCGGAATTTTCCCAAGTAAATTATCATTACAAACAGAAGATGTAAAAATTACATCCCTAACTTTGATTTAGATTATTATAATCAAAAAGAAGCGCTAAGCCATAAGGGCTATACAGCGCTGCAGGGTAGGGAAGGAAGCGAGGGTATTGGGCAGTAGAAGGGAGGAGGGATGATCAATAGGTTACAGAAAACAGTGGGACAGAGGATAGTGCGGGGGTAGAGGGCAGCAAGAGATTGAGGTAGAAAGGGCTGATGGTATCATCAGAGTTTGTGAAGTCAGTTGTTGTCAAAAAGTCAATGAGAGAGTCCGCATGAAAGGTGGGTCCATCAGCGAGAAGGGAAGGTAAACAGAGAGCAGCGGAGCGAAGACAACGTTGGAGGTATATTCTGCGTGCTCATTGATAAAGTGGGCAGTCTAATAGTATGTGGCTAACCGATAATGGAACCTGACAATTCTCACAGAGAGGAGCAGGGCGCCTCTCCACGAGATAACCATGAGTAAGACGAGTATGGTCAATGCGAAGACGGGAGAGAGTAGTCTCCCAACCTCGACACTGGTGACAAGAAGACGGCCAGTTTTAATAGATTGAAGTTTGTTACCGAGCAGAGTAGACCAATGTTGTTGCCAACGGGTGTGAAGGTGGGTAGCTATTGCAGCAAAATAGTCGTAAATGGAACACCTCTATATGAAACTGGTAGGTCATGTACTGCTGACCGCGCAGCAGTGTCTGCCTGTTCATTGCCCTGCACATCAACATGACCAGGGACCCAACAAAAAACAATATCTTTATGCTTGGAAGAGATGCGGTGTAGCCAAAGTTGGATACGGAGGACTAAGGGGTGAGGTGTTTCAAATTTCTGTATAGCCTGTAAAGCACTAAGGGAGTCTGAGACAACCACAAATGATGACATAGGCATAGATGCAATACAGATAAGTGCTGCAGGAATGGCATACAATTCAGCAGTAAAGATACTAGCCGAAGATAGTAAATGCCCTCGTACAATGCTGTCCGGAAACACTGCTGCGAATCTTACGCCGTCAGAAGACTTAGAGCAGTCTGTGTACACTGCAATGGCATGAGAAAGAGTGGAAGTGGTCAAGAAAAAGATAGCGGGAAGCTACTGTAGACAGTTGGGCTTTCGAGCAAGGGAGTGAGAAAGAACAGACTCGAACAGCTGGAACTTCCCAGGGGGTAGGGAAAAGTGAGATGCTGCATGAACAGAGAGGTGGTAATTGAAGAGAAGACAAGAGCGAATGTAGGCGAAGGGACGGAGCAAACAGGGGCGGCGAACAAATAAAGAATGTCTACTAATATCGGTGACCATTCTATAAATGGAAGGATTGGGGAGATCATGAGAGCGTAGCGATCAGATAAGGATGAACGTTCACTTCTGCATAGAGGTTCTCAACAGGGGAAGAGCGAAAAGCACCAAAGCATAAACGTAATCCTTGGTGATGAATGGGGTTAAGGCTAGAGAGAGTAGCAGGAGAGGCCGCTGAATAGATCTGGTCACCATAATCAAATTTCGATAAAATGAGGGCGGAATGTAGGAGAAGGAGAGTTCGACGATCAGCTCCCCATAAAAGATGAGCAAGGGTTTTAAGAAGGTTCAGCCGGCTGTGACAAGTTGCCTTCAGAGAGGTAATGTGAGGTTTCCAGGATAACCTATGGTCAAAGAGGAGGCCTAGAAACCTGACTATCACGTTCAGGGATACGGGAGCCATAGAGGTACAAAGGATGATCGGAGATGACAGAGTGTCTAGTGAAAGTAATTTGGCGAGTTTTGGTACTGGAAAATTTAAACCCATGTGTGGTGGCCCATTTGGAAACACGGTCGACCGCATGTTGGAGAGAAACTGTAATGAGGTGACAGTCAGCGCCTGCACATGCAATAGCGACGTCATCAACATAGAGTGATGACCAAATATTGGATGGAAGACTAGAGGCCAAATCATTTATAGCAAGGAGAAAAAGTGTTGTGCTCAGACCACATCCCTGGGGAACACCTTCAGCTTGGATAAAGTCCGGGGACAGCACATTATTAACCCGAACACGGAAATGTCTGTCAATTAAAAAGTTCTTAAGGAAGGATGGTAGATTGCCTCGAAGGCCTAAGGAGTGGGCTTGGGCCAAAATATTATACCTCTAAGTTGTGTCATATGCCTTCTCAAGGTCAAAAAATATGGCAATAACTGAGTGGTTATTCGCAAAGGCATTACGAACATACGTATCCAAGCGTAGTAAGGGGTCTATGGAATGGCCCTTACGAAAGCCATATTGACGAGTGGAGAGACTGTTGTGCGTCTCTAAATACCACACTAAACGTCTATTTACCAGGCATCCCATCACTTTGCAAACTGCACTGGTAAGAGCAATGGGACGATAGTGGGAGGCTTCATGTCCCGTGGTACCCGGTTTGTGGAAAGGGAGAACAAAGGCAGATTTCCACAGCTGTGGAAGAACTCCCTGTGACCAAATAAGATTGAAAAGGCATAATAGGACTGCAAGGGCTGACTGATGTAAATGTTGTAGCATACGAATATGAATGTCGTCGGGCCCAGCTGCCGATGATCGGCAAGCTGAGAGTGTTGCCTCCAGTTCCTGAAGTGTAAAAGGCACATTATACTGTTCTTCTCTGAGAGAAGAAAAGTCCAAGGGTGCTAACTCTCTGGCAGACTTTGAGGAAAGAAACGAGGGGCATAGATGGAGCCCCTGAGAAATACGGACCAGATGATTGCCAATTTCATTGGCAACATCTAGTGGGTTTGCTATATCAACACCGTCAACTTGCAGAACAGGAGCCAGGTCAGGAGAATATTTACCACTCAGTTTTCGTACTTTTTTCCAGACTGCACTCAGAGGAAGCAGAGGTGATGGTGGAGACAATCTCGCCAGCAAGTGCGTTTAGCGTCACGGATGACACGGCGAGCAATCGCACGCTTCTGCATAAAATCAAGAAGTCTCTCGATGGTTCTATTGTACCAGTACCTGCCCCATGCAGCGCGTTTCAAACGTACTGCACGAGCACAAGCAGGAGACCACCAAGGCACGCATTTCTGAGAATGCCTGCCCGAAGTTTGGGGTATAGAATGAGAAGCTGCGGTTAAAACGGAAGACGAGAAGAGATGTAAAAGCTCATCAATGGAGGACAAAGAAGGAACCTCAATAAAAACAGTTAGTTGTGAGTAAGGTTCCAATTTGCCTGATCAAATTGCCAGCGTGGGTTACGAAGAGATGGTGAATATGAAGGGGAAGTAAGAATGATTGGGAAATGATCGCTGTCATGTAAATCCGGGAGAACAGACCAGGTGAAGTCTAATGCGGTGGAGGAAGAGCAGACTGAGAGATCGATTCAAGAGAGAGTATGAGTGATGATCAAAATGGGTGTGAGTACCTGTATTTAAAACATGGAAGGGGTGGGTAGCAAGAAAAGCCTCTAACTGAATGCCACAGGAATCACAGTGAGACCCCCCCAGAGGAAATGATGGGCATTAAAAATCGCCAAGCAACAGAAGTGGTGGCGGTAATGACGAAACAAGAAAGGCAATATATGGGATACATAATGCCAGAGAAAGAGAGATACAAAGAACAGAGTGTATACCACCCATGCAAGTGGATACGGGCTGTTGTGTAATGCAGCGAAGTACGAACAAATAGCTAATGGTACGGAATATCAGTGCGTAAAAGAAGGGCACTTTCATTAAAGGTCCCATCAGGAAAAGGATCTGAAGAATACAATAAATTATAGCCTGAGATAGGACAGATATCGGCAGAGTGTAATTTTGGTTCCTGTAAGCAAACACCAACAGGGGAAAACTGGGAGAGCAACATCTGAAGCTCACCCCGATTACCCCTGAGGCCGTGAATATTCCACTGTAAATAGGCCATGATTGGCAACGATAAAGATACCTGAAATCTGCAGGTAAGGGTACCTACGGACTAGAGGGGTTAGAAAAGTCCACATGCGGTGGCAAAGGAAAACGTTCAAGTAGCGAAGGAACGGTGCGTTGTGAAGAAAGGAGTTGCGCAGATGGAGAAGAGGAAAGAGAAGGAACAGAGGGTGGATCAGTGTCCATTGATGGTTTGGTCTCTGCAATATATTCACAGATTGCTTCAAGTGTTTCGGAGTTCAGAGACGTCGTATGGGAGACAATTTTGGAGATGGAAGGAGGAGGAGTTTGAGTAAAGATCGGAGCTGTAATGGACTGTACAAGGTAGGGGGGGGGGGGCGAAAGGGTGAAGGGAACTGGAGAAGTGTGGGAGGGGACAGAAGAGGCAGAAACCTGGGAGGTGGCAGAAGAGGAAGAAACTTGGGAGGGGACAGGGGAGGAAGGCACGGTACAAGGAGGAGGATGAGCCTCCACACTTGTAACAGAGCCAGTGAAAGGGGAAGACTCGGGTACTGAGACCGGGAAGGTAAAATGTGGAGGTGGATGAAGGGAAGAAGGGGTTAAAGGAGATTTTTT